ATGTGATTCCTTAAGATTTGATTGATATATAGCATAGATACAAACACTAAACATAATATCGGGTCTACTTGCAGTTAAATAAGGAAGTGAGCCGATCATACCTCGATATTTTGTTTGATCAATGGACTTACCTTTTTCATTCTTGTCTAGCTTAATGGATGTGCTCATAGGTGTTCCAGCTATTTTTGAGTCATACATACCAAACTTTTTGAATAGTTCTTTTATGTACTTAGCTTGGTTGATAAAAATTCTTTCCTTACATTGTGTGATTTGAAGCCCAAGGAAATAATTTAGCTCTACCATCATGCTCATCTCAAAACAATTCAAATTTCTCATTTTCAAGTTCTCTACCATGGTCGGTTCGAATATTAGTAATAAGACAGCCTTTTTCATTTTGAATTTTACGACAGAGTTTTGTGAAAGAAGAAAATGTTTCATCTTTGTGCAGAGTTTTGTGAAAGAAGAAAATGTTTTATCTTTGTGTGCTAAAAACATAACCCATGTAAATCTTGAATAATCATCAACAATAACAAGACAATAATGTTTACCACCTAGACTAGATGTCCTTGAGGGACCAAATAAATCCATATGCAATAGTTGTAAAGGTCTAGTTGTGGAAATATGAGATTTTGATTTAAACGATGTTTTAGTTTGTTTTCCTTGTTGACAAGCACTACAAAGATAATCTTTTTCAAATTTAATTTTTGGAAGTTTAATGACCAAATCCTTTCTCAAAAGTTTAGCAATTGAATCCATATGAGCATGACCAAGTCTTCTATGTCATAACCAACTATTTTCATTATTAAAATATAAACATTTAACATCACTAGCATAGAGATCATTAAGATGAAAAACATAAACATTATCATGGCGATTACCAACGAATAAAGCTTTATGATCATTTGTGCTTTCAATTGTGCAATGTGATTTATCAAAAATAACTCGATTACCTTTATCACATAATTGACTAATACTAAGTAGGTTATGCTTAAGTCCATCAACAAGTAAAACATGAGATGATAATTAACTTTGGTGAAGAACTTAGATCTAAATCCCAATGGGTTTGGAGAAATCAAAGAGAGAAGATGACTTCTTTCATCTTTGGATGACAGTGTAGTAAAGAAGGATTTATCTCCGATCATGTGTCTGGAACATCCACTATCAAGGTACCACTTCCCTTCTTTAGCTTTGGACTTAAGACAAACCTACATGATGACAATCAAGTGTTGATTTTTGGTACCCATAGTTTCTTGGGTCCTTTTTGGTTAGTTTTGTTAGATCCCTTAATAATCCAAATCTTTTTAATTCCCATGTTCATATTCCTTTTGAATGGACAATAAGATATATAATGTCCTTTCTTTTTACAATAATGACAAGTAATATGAGGGTGTGTCATGAGAGGTGCCTTTTCAAAAATTGTATTAATATTCTTTTGTTTCTTAATAGGGTCATATCCAATGCCCGCTTTATTGAAAACACATATTTGATTTCCAAGAAGCATGTTGAGATTATTTCTACCTTTTACAAAATTTTCAAGTGTTTTTGTTAAATCATCAACATTGTTTTTTAAAGCAGTTTTCTCATTAGAGATGGTGTCAAAATCATTTTTCAAAACAATTTTTTCTTTCTTTATTTAATTCTTCTACATTACTAGATAAAGATGCAACGGATTTTTTTAACACATTATTTTTGGCACAAACTTTTCTAAATTCATCTTTTAGTTCATGGAATGCACTTTCAAGTTCTTCATAAAGAGTAGTTACCTCATCTTGAGTAGAGTCTTCATCTTCAAGAGTCATGAGACACAAATTGACTACTTCATTTTTAATTTCATTACTTGAGCTTTCATCTTCACTTTCTCCCCAAGCTGCTATCATGGCCTTCTTGTTTCTTTTGTAGTCTCTGCTGTACTTCTTTTTGAAAGGTCTTCTTTCTCCATAATTTTTTTTCTTGAAGTGTTTTTTGCGATTTCTACTAAACATGGCATAGTTTTCATCCTCACTGGAGTTTTCATGTTCTTCTTCATTTGATGATGCTTTGAATGCAATTTCACTTTTCTTTTTATCTTCAACATCCTCATGTCCTTTCATGGTGATCTCATGAGTCATAAGAGAACCCATAAGCTCATTCAATCCAAGTGTGGAGAGATCTTTGGCTTCTATAATGGCGGTGACCTTTGCTTCCCAATTCTTTGGTAGATACCTAAGAATTTTTCTTACCAACTCACTGTTAGTATAAATTTTGCAAAGAGATTTCAAAGAGTTTACAATTTCAGTAAATTTAGTAAACATACTTGAAATAGATTCATCAGAGTTCATTTTAAACAATTCATAACTATGAACAAGCATATCAATACGAGATTCCTTCACTTGGTTTGTACCTTCATACGTTACCTCAAGTTTGTCCCAAATTTCCTTTGCCAAATCACAATTTGAAATTCTATTATATTCCTTAGAGTCTAATCCACAAACAAGGGTGAGTTTGGCTCTAGCATTGGCTTGCAATAATTTATGATCTCTCTTATCACATTCATCTTCAGTTTTAGGTACACTAATATTGTCTACTAATTTGGTAGGAATTTTTGGACCTTTGGTGACAATAATCCACATGGCATAATCAGTGGCTTATAGGTATATGGTCATCTTATCCTTCCAATGATTATAGTTGTTTCCGTCAAACAATGGTGGCCTATTTGTGGCTTGTCCTTCAGCTAAGGTTGCCATGGATCGAAACTCCTAGATGGTTAAATCTAAAACAAGTGTCTAGGCTCTGATACCAATTGTTACCCAAAAGATAACCTAAGAGGGGGGGTGAATTAGGTTTTTATAATTAAAATTAATAATACCCTAATAAGAATTATGACTAGCACAATAGATAAATATAATTAATGAAATAAAAATAATTAAAACAAGTGTCTTAACAAGTATGTCAATTAATGATTTTAGCACAGTAAAAATGTGAAATATAGCTATGGCAATTTAAAATAAAATAAAGAGATAAGGGAGAGAGAGGCAAACAAATTTATAATGGTTCGGCTTCAACTCGGCCTACGTCTACTCCTCAAGCTTCACTTGAGATTTTTCACTAGTTTCTAGCTGCACAGGGGTGCTAGCAACCTCTTTACAAATGGAGCAATCCTCTACGGATTTTACACAGACTTCACAAGTCCAAACCCTTACAAATCTTAGGTGATTCGCAATAGGTGATTCACAATCACTCTCAAGATTTCAAGAACACAGTGTTTGCAACACTTTTACAAGATGAAATGATAATTTTGCTTTCAAAGAAAGCTTACAATAAATATCTCTTAAAGATAGATATATAAAATAAAATTTTGATTTTTCTGTAAATCTCACACAGGAAAGATGGGCTTAAAGCTATAAGGCTCAGTGTATAATTTCTGAGAATAGATATGAGTGATTATAGATCAAAGAATATTTTCAAGTTTTTTGTAACTTGTTTACATTAGAGGCTTTGGTATATATAATGAAAATTATAGCCGTTTATAGCTGTTCTATTCATTTGAATTTATAACCGTTTATAGCCGTTGTAGTCATTTGAATTTATAGTCGTTTATAGCCGTTGTACTTCCATCATTACCAATTTGAATATCTTTCACTCAATCATTACAAATTTGAATATCTTCCACTTGAAACTTTTGAACCTTTATAGCCGTTGTATTTCCATCATTCTAATTTGAATATCTTCCACTTGAATCTTTTGAACCTTTTGGCCTGCTGCTGTGCTATGCTGCTTGAACATTTATTTTGGGCTGTTTGAACTCCTAATTTAATCAAATATTAAATACATTCTAATAACATTTAGGATAAAGGTTTAGGTGAGAAATGATGGGATAAAATAAATTTTGATTCTATTTTTCTCTTTCAAATAAATCATCAAAATAAATTTTGATTAAAATATAATTAAAAAAATCATCAAAATAAATTTTGGATTCTATTTTTCTCTTTCAAATAAATTAAAACATAATTAAATAAATCATCAAAATAAATAAGTCTAAAAGGATGTACCACGTATGATTAAGCATGAACTCTGATTTCTGTAAATGATCTGAACAAGAATATGAATATGAATCTGAATTATGATTTCTAAATCTGTATGGACTTCATTTATTAAAACCTTTTACTTCGTTATTATTCACTAGGCTTCCCCTTACTATTTATATTATGTATGTAGGTGAGCAAGCACGTGACCAGGCTAGAGTTGACGGCCTATGTTTCAGTTTTTGTCAGTCAACCTTTGCGCCTCCCGAGGAGGTTCCAGATGAAGTCAAGTTTTGTGGTTGTTTTTGTAACCATATTAGACTATGTTTGTTGTTAAGTTGTGGGCGAGATTTTGGCATGTACGCCTAAGTGTGACATGTAAATATTATATCTTTTGACTTCACTCGTAAGTCCATAAAAGTTCTAAGTTATTCTGTCCCATGTATGTCATCACAGCTCATTGGACCTCCTATATTTTGTATATTTGCTTCCGTGGCTCCTACCTATTTGTTAATCTGTCAAGAGGTCTTTGGTAATCCAAGGATTACTGGCCGATTACGATGCTAAACCAATAGGGCGGGTTTGGGTCGTGACAGAGTGGTATCATAGCACGTGTTTTACCCCACACACAGGTCCATATGAGCTTAGGATGTCCTAGTAAGAAATAGGGGTGTTCCATCTGCATGTGTGAGTGTGTGGTAACCCAAATGGATATGAAAACTGAATGTAAATCTGAGCAAATGAATTGAAAGAAATGAATGAGATTATTCCCATGTTTATTATTATTTGGTGTCTTTATAGCAACATGGAGAATGTAAGGGAAATGATGTAAGTGAATCTTCAAAGGCTTGTATGAGCCGAATGGAACAAATGCTTGCGGCATTGACTGAAGCTATGACACAACAGCAAAGACAACAATCTTTGCCCCCTCCACCTCTGCCGACACAAGCCGAAACAGATAATAATGACATCATCAACTTGACTCAAAAATTCATGAAGATGAAACCGCCAATATTCCTAGGTGGAATTGAACCATTGAAAGCAGAAACATGGTTGCTTGAGATGGAAAAACTGTTTGAGGTGTTTCCCTATACCGAGATTCAAAAGGTTTTATTGGTCACTTACACTCTGAAAGACGAAGCTCGGAGGTGGTGGTTACTGATTCGGAATACCAATGCGAATATGACGTGGGCTCGATTTAATGAGATCTTTTATGAAAAATATTTTCCTCAATGTTTTCGGGACCAAAAGGCGTCTGAATTCCAAGAACTTAAGCAAGGCCGAATGTCCGTAGATGAGTACGAGGCAAAGTTCACCGAATTAGCTAGATTTGCTCCTCATATGGTGGACACAGACTACAAGAAAGCTCGCAAATTTGAGGGACGATTGGACTAAGACATATTTGATTGAGTTGGTATACTAAAATTGCCAACATATGTGCAAGTTCTTGATAGATCTTTAATGGCGGATGCCACCCTAGCCACTATGAAGCAAGGTAAGGCCCCAGCAGCAACAACAACTGATTGGAGAGGAAAAAGGTCTGGGTATGGTTTCAGAAAAGGTCGTTCTTATGTAAGTAAAAAGAAGAATACAGGGTCTACAAGCAGCTCGAGTCAGAGCAGTGGGCCTATTCCAGTTTGTCCTAATTATGGAAGAAGGCATAGAGGTGTATGTTACCGAGCATCTGGTGCCTGTTTCTAATGTGGCAAGATAGGTCATGTAGTGAAAGATTACCCACTTGGGTCTGAGAATGCCATCCGTCCTATGATGAGTTCAGCTGGGTCCGCGTCTACAGTTAAAACAAATGCAAAAACTAATATTGGGAAAGAACCTCTGAGACAAGGTCGAGTGTTTGCCTTAGTGCCTGGTGACGTATAGAATATCAAAACCGTGGTGTCAGGTATACTTTTTATATGTTCTCAATATGCTTGTATGCTGATAGATTCTGGTTCTACACATTCCTTCGTATCGCATGTTTTTTCTCTTAAATTAACTAGACCACTAGAACTTATGACATATGCGTTATCTGTATCTACACTGTCTGGGGGTTCTATGATATGTGCTTATGTTTATCTGGCATGTGACATTATGATTGGTGATATGACATTGTATGTTGACTTGTTGCCCTTGAACATTGATCATTTTGATTGTATTCTGGGTATGGACTAGTTGACCAAATACTGTGCTACTATTGACTGTGCAAGTAAATCTGTTGTGTTTAGACCATCGGGTATGCCTGAATTTACTTTTACTGGAAATGGGGTAGTTCCTCCCCCATACCTGATCTCGGCCATGAAAGGTGTGAAATTGCTTAGGAAGGGATGTAGGGGTTACTTGTGTTGTATATTGACTGCATCATCTGATAGTGTTAATGTGGAAACTATTCCAATTGCTTATGAATTTCCCGATGTGTTTTGGAATGAATTGCCTGGGGACTTAGTTGATAAAGAGATTGAATTCACTATTGAAGTAATCTCGGGAACATAACCTATTTCCAAGACCCCTTATAGGATATCTACATTAGAATTGAAAGAATTAAAAACTCAACTTCAGGGACTGCTCAACAAGAGATTCATCCGTCCGAGTACATCACCTTAGGGTGCTCCAGTTCTATTTGTCAAAAAGAAAGATGGATCTCTGAGGTTATGCACAGACTATCGGGAATTGAACAAAGTAACTATCAAGAATAAATACCCTTTACCTCGAATAGATGACTTGTTTGATCAACTTTAGGGAGCCTAAGTGTTTTCCAAGATTGATCTCAGATTTGGGTATCACCAGTTAAAAGTTAAGGCAGAAGACATAGAGAAAACTGCATTCAGAACTAGATATGGACACTATGAATTTTTAGTCATGCCATTTGGGGTAACAAATGCATCAGCAACTTTTATGAACCTAATGAATAGAGTTTTCAAACAATACCTTGATGAATTTATCGTTGTGTTTATTGATGACATTTTGATTATTCTAAAAACAAGAAAGAACATGGGAATCATCTGAGGACTACCTTGTAGATTCTGAGAGAAAAAAACCTATACGCCAAATTGTCCAAATGTGAGTTATGGCTTTGACAGTGTGACATTTGTGGGGCATATAATCAACAAGGATGGTACTTCTGTTGACCCTCAGAAAATTGAAGCTATTGTGGACTGGCCTAAACCAACAAATGTGACAGAAGTTAGAAGTTTTCTGGGACTTGCAGGTTACTACAGAAGATTTGTGAAAGACTTTTCAAAACTTGCTATGCCATTGACCCAGTTAACTCAGAAAAATGTGCCCTTTGATTGGGATGAACAAAGAGAGTCAGCCTTCCAAGAGTTGAAAACCAGACTAGTAACTGCACCGATTTTGACCTTACCTAATGGTACTGATGGGTTTCAGATTTATAGTGATGCTCCCTACAAATGTTTGGGCTGTGTATTTATGCAAGATAGGAAAGTAATTGCTTATGCCTCTCGGTAACTCTGTCCACATGAAAATAATTACCCAACACATGATCTTGAACTGGCAGCTGCAGTGTTTGCCTTAAAAATTTGGCGACATTATCTGTATGGAGCGATTTGTGAAGTGTACACGGACCACAAAAGCCTCAAGTATTTCTTTACTCAGAAAGAACTGAATATGAGACAAAGAAGATGGTTGGAATTGATCAAGGACTATGATTTGCAAATTTTGTATCATCCAGGTAAAGCTAATATTGTAGCTCCCTTTGAGCTGAAAGTCGATTGGGAATTTGTCATGTTTACTGTCCAGTCAAAAAGAATTGCTAGATGACCTGGAAAAGAATAAGATTGAAATTGTTTTGCGAGAGCAATGTGGGATTTTAACTGCTATTTCCGCTCAACCTGCAATCATTAAAGAAATCAAACAAAACAACTTGAAGATGAGTACTTGAAAAAGATTGTGGAAGAATTTGATTCAAAACCGAAGCCAGGGTTTGTGTTTGAGAATAATGTGTTAAAATTTCAGAATAGACTTTGTGTACCAGATTCCTCTGATTTGAGAAAGCGTTTTATGTCCGAAGCTCACAACACCAAATTTGCCATGCATCCGGGGAATACAAAGATGTATCATGATTTGAAATAGAACTTTTGGTGGCCTAGAATGAAAAAGTGCATTGTAGATTTTGTGGCTAGATGTTTGTATTGCCAACAAGTTAAAGCTGAACATCAGCGACCCGCTGGTTTATTGCAGCCGCTTCCAATACTGGAATGGAAATAGGAACACATTACTATGGACTTCATTGTAGGATTGTTTCGCTCTACTCGAGGTATGGATTCTATCTGGGTTATAGTTGATCGTTTGACTAAATCTGTCCATTTTCTGCCTGTCAAAACTATTTATAATGCAGATAAGTTAGCTAACATATATGTGAATGAAATTGTGAGATTACATGGTGTACCAGTATCTATTGTATCTGACAGAGATTCGAAGTTCACATCAAGATTTGGGCAAAGTTTACAACAGGCTTTAGGGACTGAACTGAGATTGAGTAGCGCCTATCACCCACAGATAGATGGTCAAACTGAACGAACCAATCAAACTTTGGAAGATATGCTAAGAATGTGTATATTGGATTTCCAAGAAAATTGGGAGACTTATTTGCTATTGGCGGAGTTTGTGTATAACAATAACTATTATTCAAGCATTGGAATGGCTCCTTATGAAGCTTTGTATGGAAGAAAACGCCGATCTCCGATATGTTGGGCCGAGGTAGGTGACAAACCATTGTTGGGACTAGAACTTGTGCAAGAAACCACTGAAAATGTGAAACTGATCCAACAGCATCTGAAAACTGCACAGAGCCGGCAAAAGAGTTATGCTAATGTTCGAAGAAGAGATAAAGAATGTGAAATCGGGGATCACGTGTTTATTAAAGTAACTCCAATGAAGGGGCAAACACGGTTTGGTGTTAAAGGCAAGCTGGTGCCAAGGTATGTTGGGCCATATGAGATTGTTGAAAAGATCAACCTGGTAACGTATCGAGTAGCCTTACCTCCGATAATGGAAAACATGCACAATGTCTTCCATGTCTCTATGCTACGGGAGTATTTGAGAGGCCCGCTACATGTGATTGAGCCAATTCACGTGCTTTTGAAAGATGATTATACTTATGAAGAAAGACCTATTCAGATTGTGAACCGCCGAATCAAAAGATTGAGGAACAAAGAAATTCCATTAGTGAAGGTTGATTGGCAGAATCATGGAGGAACTTATGCAACTTGGAAGATGGAGGAAGATATGATGAAAAGATATCCCGAATTGTTTCCTTTAGACCCGATGTTCTTCCAGAACGAAGGTAACTCGAGTTTAAAGGACCAAACTCTTTAAGGGGGGAAGACTGTAACAACCCCGATCCCTGATTAATGTTAATCCATGATGAATTGTGCCTAATCAGTAATTAAGGAAAAATTCTAAATTAAATTGTGTATGTGTGTTGCATTGTTTGTGCCCATATCTGTTTAACGTAGAAAGATATGTTCATGTTTTTCTTTCAGTTTGCAGGTTGAAGGCCTTATCGGCGTCCGATTCAGAAATTGACTTAATTTACGTGTTAATTAGGATTTATAAGATTTTGTGGTAGGTTTAATTGAAATTTGCTTTGGAACGATTAAATTAGAATAATTAATGCTTAATTAAGCCTAACTAATGAAATCTTGATTTAAGCCTATATAAGGCACCTTTTTGTTCCGCATACACTCTTTTTCTTCATCTTACATGCATCTTTGAGCTCTCATAGACACAAAAACGTGAGAGGGAGAGAGAGTAGGGAGGAAATTGAACTTAACAAGAGAATTGCTTGAGATTTAGAGGAAATTGAAGAAGACTTGGAGGATTAAGCTACCACACTTGATAATTCAAGACTTAAGGTAGGAATCCACTCTTTTAATTGTGAAATAAAGTTGTCTAATGCATGGGTTCATGGAAATTAGGGATTAAAGTCATGAAATAACTTAAAGAGTAGATTTGAGAATCAATTCATGCATGCATATCCATACCATGGAGTTTTGAAGTTGTTTTCATGAGAATTCTCACATGCATGTTCATATTATAGTTGTAATCTAAGAATTCACCATGTTTTGGGAAAGAATATCTCATGTGATTATGTTTTGGAAGTTATGAATTCAAATGAATACATGCATGACATAATTGGATAATGTTCTTCCATTTCAAGATGGATTTTTGAACAATTAGCATGCCTTTGGGCCATGATTTCATGAAATGATCTTCAAGTCATGATGTTTTGTGAGTTTCTAAATGTTTTCCAGAATTTTGGCCCAAAATATTAAGTTTTGAAGTGTTTGATTTGAGTTTGAAGCTTGGAGATCAAATCTGGAAATTTCAAATTTTGCATTCACGCTCGAGCGTAGGAGTTTACGCTCGAGCAAGCACTC